CCGGGCCCGCCGCACCTCCACGGCCCGGGCCCCCGGGGAGCGTCCACGGTCCCGAGCTGCTCCGGTGCCACGCGCCTGCCGGCGGGGTGCAGTTTCGAGGCTTGGCTGCCTCGGTTCAAGGAGTGGCGAAGCGTCTTGGCTCGCCTATAGCCCCACCAAACAATGTTCTAAGAACCTTTCGTGGTTTCCACGAAATGTTCTTAGAACATTTCTGGCGGAGTCTGTCTTGTTTTATCACATCGGGTCTATGTTCTAAGAACATTTTTTTGGTTCTTAGAACGTTTTTGGGTTCTATGAACATGTCGTGGTAGGACTGTAGGAATGCCTGGACGGTCGGTCCCTGCTCAATCGGTACGCTTGAGTCGGGCCTGTCCCCCTACAGGGGGATTTTCGACGAAACATCAAAAAATACACCAACAATAGTCAACACGTAGTCCAAACATAGTCTGGGGACAATTTTTAATTTTTGTTAACATGTTTGCTGTTTTTGTTTGTGTTTCGCATTTTTCGTTGAAAATCCCCCTGTAAGGAGGACACGCCCGACATAACGGTACGCCCGTTTTGATATGTACGCAACACGTGCCGCGCTCAAGACGCCCGTGTCAATCCGTGGCGTGTTGGCTCCACGTCTTGGACCACGTTCTGGCGAGTGTAGCGCGTCGGACCTGCGCTTTCAGCCCACGTGTTGAGCTCCGTATCACTACGATGCGTGTTGCGTGTTGCGTATCGGAGCAGCTAGGTTCAGAGGAGGAAAAGGCACCCACACCGCTACCCTTCGCCCGTTTCCATTTTTTTGCTCGCCTCCCACGCGAGGTTCTCGTCGCCCTCCACTGGATTCGCGTCGAGAGGCTGGTCAGAGCGCACCTCCGGGAGAGGTCCAGGGAGTAGCGGTAGTGGTACCTTCCGATTTCTCCATCAGCGCGTCGCAGGCTTCGCCGCCGCGACACGCAGTGCAGAAGTCCCTGCCTGCAGCGAAGACCAATTGGATTAGTTATGCAAAAACGTCGGCCGCCATGCGAGTAGCCGACTCGCGCCTGGCGAACGGTGGGCTCCTCTTGCGGAGCGCCGCCGCCCATTATTTCGGTCGTGCCGTCCACGCTGATCGCGTCACAAGGGCTCTCTCTGTATTGGAGCAGCGGTCATGGCCAACACGGGGTCGCATAGCCCTCTTGGGGTCACGGGGCCAACACGGAGTAACCTCTGCCCCGTTGGGCTCCTGAGGGCTCCCGAGGGGGCTCCCGAGAGGGGTCACACAGCATGCCCGCCAACACGGGTTTGCGTGTTCGCCGCAAGTTGACAACATTACAAGATGTATGCGGCCATGTAGTGTGGTTGCGGCAGTCTACAGTCATGCCATTGGCGTCGGTGCTCACCCCAAGGACCCCACAAGAGGCTCAAGAGGCTTTGAAATGGCCGCAAATAGCGCCAGGAGGCCCCAAGACCCGCGACGCGTCCGCCCAAGAGGCTCTCAAACTCTTCCAGCAGACTCCCAGGCGCTTCAAGGGGCACCAAAGCTCCCCCAAGACGATTCCGAGAGGCACCGGAATTCCCCCTAAGAGACCCAAATATACGCCTCAGCGCGACGCTCCCAAGACGCCCCCACATGAGGCCCCAGACTCTTCTGGGAACTCTTAACGCCTTAGTAGAGGTCAGCTCACCGGGAAGGGGCCCCTCACCCAGGATGGGGTCAGGAGCTGTGGCTTGGCGCGTCGCTCCACCGGCCATGGCCCCAGCACGCTTCGGCGCGACACGCCAGCCATGCCCTCTCCTCCTCCTCCTCCTCCTCCTCCTCCTCCTCCCCTCCCTCCTCCTCCTCCTCCTCCTCCTCCTCCTCCTCCTCCTCCTCCTCCTCCTCCTCCTCCTCCTCCTCCTCCTCCTCCTCCTCCTCCTCCTCCTCCTCCTCCTCCTCCTCCTCCTCCTCCTCCTCCTCCTCCTCCTCCTCCTCCTCCTCCCTCCTCCCTCCTCCTGAGGAGAAGTTCCTGGCGAAAGATCTTTCTCCCGGGGGCGGTGGGCCAGGCCTTGGCATCCGGGCGGGGCCAGGATCAGGTCGGGCGTGTCCCTCTAAAGGAGGAAAATGCAAGAATAGCCCAAAAATAGTCGGGTGCCGATGTTTTTAGTACTTTGGGGCAGTTTGCGAGTATGGTTTAACTGTCTTCTATTTCTCGTCCAAAGTCCCCCTGCAGGAGGACAGGCCCGACTTAAGGCTAGGACGAGGATGACAAATCCGTTCCAGAGCGTTCCGGGACGCTCTACGCTCTCAGAGCCTTCCGGAACGCTCTGGGAAGGCTGCGTCGCCCGAGACAGCCTCCAGAGCCGCCGGAGCTCAGAGATCCTCGGCGTATATCCTCACCCGGACGTGTCCTCGCCCTGGCTCCGCCCGCCGCGCAGCGCCCTCCTCGCCGCGCCGCGCCTCGGGGCCCGTGCCAGGGGCGGCGGGGCCCAGAGGGGCAGAGGCACTGACCCAGGGCCAGGCAGGTGTGCAGAAGGGCGCTCTGGGCGGGTGGCTGAGATTCTCGCGCGGGCCCCGCAGAGTTTTGGTTCACCCACAAGGGGGTCCAGCGAAGAGAGAGTGGTGCCATCGATTTGGTGCCATAGATTTGTGGAGTTGCAGTGGATTTGGGGCGTGCAATACATTCTTGTGGGCAGATGTATTGCTGGGCTTTCGCGTGCAACACATGAAATGCAACAACATGCAATACAATTCTCTGGCGCAGTACCTGTGCAATGTATATTTGCCCCAAACATCTTGCACCACCCCCTTTCAGATGGATCTCCTTGTGGGTCAACCACATAGAATTCAATAGTAATTCTGGGCTCTCATTTTTGGCTGCCTCTCAGCCACGTTTCGAGGCGGGCGATCGCATTACCCGAAGCTGGGCAGGTATAGAAGTGCGCTCTGGGCGGGTGGCGAAGACTCGTACGCGGATCCCCCCGAATTCTGGGTTATTCGGGCTGGGCTAGCTAGGACGAGGAGAAATCCGTTCCAGAGCGTCCCGGAACGCTCTTAGAGCGTTCCGGGACGCTTTGAGAAGGCTGCATCGCCCGAGACATTCTCCGTAACCGCCCAAACTCAAAGATTCTCGATTTATCCTCGCCCGATTGTATCCTCGTTCGGCTTCGTCTTACAAACGGGTCGGCTACACATAAGAGTGACCCTTCGCCAGAGTGCCTTCTGGTGCGGGCTCATCGGGATCCCTTCGATCGCTGAGCGCGGTGCGTCAGCGGCTGCTTGCGCGCCTGGATCTGGCCACTTTGCGCCCCCTTGGTCCGCGCACCACGGGTCACTCTTGCATAGGGTCACTCTTGCGTGTAGCCGAACGGTGTGGTGACCACACCGCGGGGTGAGGCTGGGGGACTCGGGTCGTTCTCCGAGGACGTCTCGGGCGACTGGGGCCTCCGTTGTCCCAAAACCGTGCTGTGACGGACCCCGCGCTGGGGTCGCTGGGGATTCCGAGGTCACCACGCGCTCTGTCACCACACGGTTTTCACGG